TAGATTTAATTGTATATAAAATAAGATTATATTATATCCATTGATATATCCTCCATTAAAACTAACTCTATTTATTTTAATGGTTATGAAAATCACTCTATTAACTACCTACACTTTTTTTTTTTTTTAATTTTTTTATTTTCTCTTATCTAATAAAACATTAAATTTTGAACTATAATACTTATATTATCAAAAAAATAATAAATTTAAACACACACATTACTCCATGCAAAAACACTATAAATAATAAAAATAATAATATTGAAAATAACAATATTAACAAAACTAATAAAAAAAAAACTTTTAAAAACGAATAATTATTTTTTTATTTATTTTTTTTTACAACCTTTTTTGTTTTTTCCAATATAAATAAAACCAATAAATATTATTTTATTTATTTATTTAATAATAACAATAATTTTATATAACACAATATTTAAATAATTTATTTAAAATTTTATTTATTTATATAATATTTATTATCTTTCAAATAAACCAGAAAAAATTAGATCATAATAAATAAAGTACGCCTCATACAAATTAATTGTATAAATACTATATCGATTATGAAAATAAAATGATTAAACGATATAATTATTAATAAAATATTTATAATAATAAATAATTTTATAAATAAATATCTTTAAAAAATATAAAACTTTTTTTTCAAAAAAAAAAAATTAAAAATAAAAAAAGTTTTATATTTTCTTTCAAAATTTGCATTTTTTTTTAAAATTATAAATATATTTTTCGTTTTTGGATATTTTTATTCAAACTATTATGTTACCATGATATCAAAAACACATTAAAAAAAAAAGTCATTGATAATAGTGCATAGCTCCATTGTTAGCAATCTAATTTTTTTTTTCAAAAAAATAATTTTTATTTTTTTTAACATTATCACCAAAAAAGTTTATTAGTGCTATAAATAAAAAACAATAATAGATATAGATATATAAAAATAGTTTAGTTATAGTGTGTGTGTTGTGTTTTTATTAATAATAATAATAATAAAAATAGTTTGTGTGTGTGTGTGTTTAATTGTGGGTGTTTTGAAAAATAATTAATTGAATATGTTTAATAACCACGCTTCTATATTTATATATACACATTTATAATTATATTAATTATTAATATTAATACTTTTATTGTCAACAAAATAGCATTTTTCATATAACATATATATAATCAACAGCAGAAGTAGTATCCAAAAAACAAAGCAACTAATTAAAACTAACAATCATTCATATAAACAAAAAAATTGTAATTATTAATCATTTTAAATTGTGTGTGTGTTATATAACACATGTGTCACATTTGAATTTTTATTGTATATTATTTTTGTTTTTTCATTTTCATTTTTTTTTTTGTTTTTTGTTTTTTTGTTTCTATTTAAAATGGATGATCAAACGGTGCTTTGATAATTTATTTACTATATCATCCTCAATCCCGCCACCCAATACTCAACTCACCCACTTTTTTTTTTAAAAGATAATTTATTATAAATATTATTTACTACAATGTGTTTTAAAATACAATAAATATATTTTTGGATCTTAAAGAATAAGGCACTTTAATAAATAGGATAGTACAATAGTAAAAATAATAACAATTTTAATTTCAATTAAAAAAATAAAAAATAAAAAATATAAACAACAAACTTTATCTTTAATTATATTTGCATCTTTAATATGAGTAAATAATAAAGATTAAAATTAATTATATACAATATATTTTATTTTTACTCTATATAAAACTATTACTCTCATTTACTCATTTTCCAAAATAATATAAAAAAAAAATAGTAATAGCAATAGTAAATATATTTTATGTGCAACTGTAACAATAACTAAACTATTACCCCTATCATAACCATTTATATCACTGCCAATTATTTTAACCAAAAAAAAATATACCAATATTAATAATAAATACAACTACAATAAAAAGATAAACCACAGTTTTAATAATAAAAAAATTTAAACGTGTAATTTCTTTTTTTTTCTTTCTTTTCTTTTTTTTTTTTATTTTTTTTTAATATTATTTATTTATTTTTTAAAATATAAAAAGCTTTTATTAATTTTAAATTACTTTTAATTAAAAAAAAAAAACATATTTATTAAAAATTGATTTTTAAATTAAAAAAAAAAAAAATAGTAAAAATAATAATATATCAACCACTTTATATAAAAACAAATATATAAATAACAATTAATATCATATGGAAAGGTTATCATCATATTTTGAAAACTTTTCAGAAACATCAAAGAGAAAAAAAGATTATCACAAAGTTAGACACGAATTGCAAACTGATGAAAACTATTTAAGCGATCCAGTACCATCAACAGAAACAGATGATCATTCTTTAAAAAATGCTGATATGATTCAATTGGAGGAACAGACACCAAATGGAGATTTGGCCTCAGACGGTGGAGCAAAAAACTTTAAAAAGTGTTTAAATGTAACCGATTTATTAGCATTTGGTGTCGGTAGTATTATTGGTTCTGGTATTTTCGTTACTACAGGTGTTGCTGCAAGAGATATTGCTGGACCAGGTGTTTTTCTCTCTTTTATTATTTCTGGTTTTTGTTGTTGTCTTTCTGGTTTATGTTATGCCGAATTTGCCTCTAAAATCCCATGCTCGGGTTCTGCCTATTCCTACTCATATATTCTTATTGGTGAATTAGTTGCATGGATTGTTGGTTGGGATCTTACCTTGGAATATATGATTGCTAGTGCTACAGTCGGTAGAGGTTGGTCCGGTTATTTAAAATCAATCATTATATCAGGTGGTGGCTATTTACCAAAACCTTTGGATCCAATAGATTTAGGTGGTGGTTTTTCCGTTGATATAATTGCTTTCATGAGTATTATTATATTGTCATTGGTCATTGCTTTTGGTATGAAGGAAAGTGCTAGATTTAATAAAATCTTTGTCGTTATCAAAATCGCAATTATCATATTTATTATCATTCTCGGTGGAATGCATACAGACTCTAAAAATTGGTCCAACTTTGCCCCATATGGTGAAAAGGGTATATTTGGTGCTGCCGCTATAACCTTCTTTGCCTATTTGGGCTTTGATGGTGTTTGTAATGTAGCTGAAGAAGTCCCAAATCCACAAAGAGATTTACCAATTGGTATTTTAGGTTCATTAGGTATCTCAACTGTATTATATGTTGCAGTTTGTGTGGTTTTAACTCTAATGGTTCCATATCAATTACTGTAAGTATTTCTTTTTTTTAATTTTCATTTGGTACCTTCTCAGACACCAACTAAATTTTTAAAAAAACTAATTTTTTTTTTTTTTATTTTAAATTTTCTCTATAGTGATCCAGAAGCACCACTTTCAGTAGCATTTAACAATATTGGATTAAATTGGGCATCTATTATCGTTGCTATTGGTGCATTTGCAGGTTTAACTACTGCTCAATTAGGTGGTTTAATCAGTCAACCAAGATTATACTATTCATTAAGTAAAGATGGTTTATTACCAAAATGGTTTGGTGTTATTCATCCAAGATTCAAAACACCATTTAATGCAACTGTATTTTCTGGACTCTGTTGTGCCACCATTTCACTATTTGTAAAGATTGATATTTTAGCTAATATGGTCTCAATTGGTACACTATTATCCTTTACCCTTGTTTCAACCTGTCTTTTAGTTTTAAGATACCCATCACCACGTTTTAAACACGACTCACAAGGTAATTATTACTTTATATCTCTTTATTATTTTATTCTATTAAATTTATTTTTATTTTTTTATTTTCTAATTACTAATTTTTTTATATAAAGCCTCATTCCCAGTTAATAAATTACCACTTTTCTTACAAAAGCCATTAACTCTTGTACCATTTATTATTGTCTGTGCTATGATAACATCTCTTGCCTATATCCATAGTTTACACTATAGCATCATTATCATATTTGGTTTCTTTGGTCTTCTCTTCTCTGCTATTCCATTCTTTTATAAGCAAACTGATAGTCCAATTATATCAGCATCAAAGAAAGCATTTGTTTGTCCACTCGTTCCATTCATTCCACTCCTTTCAATTTGGGCAAATTCTTATTTAATGGTTTCTCTTAGTTGGGGAACCTGGGTACGTTTAATCATTTGGTTATTTATTGGCTTTTGTATATATTTCTTCTATGGCCGTAAAAATAGCAGATTAGGTAAAGAAATGGAAATTGAAAGAATGAGTAGTGATAGCAGTGATTCAGCCGAAACCATTACCAGTGGCAATGACATTACAACCACCGGTGGTGAAAATAGTGACGATATCGGATCATCAGGTATTTCAAACTGCATTACTACTTCAAATGTAGGTATTGTTTCAAATCCATTAAATGACTCTTGTGAAAATATAAAAAAAAGTGAAAAACAACCACTTTCACCCTCAATTGCCGGTTTGTCCAACAAAACCCCAAAGAGTAAAGGATCAACACCCCTATCCTCTTTATCACCAGCAATCCAAGGTATCTCAAATAAAATATCAACTCCAAAAAGTAAAAGCTCAACACCTAAAGTTAAATCAACTTCATCTGGTACTTATGATCAATTAAATGATGATGATTTAAATAATAATTTTTCATTAAATGGTCATAATAATAATGATGATAATGATAATGATAATGATAATAATGACAATAATAATGACAATAATAGCGATAATGTAGATGATAATATGGATAATATAGATTTAAATGATAATATAATAGATGAACCTCATAATAATAATAATAATAATAATAATAATAATAATAATAATAATAATAATAATAATAATAATAGTGTTATATAAATAATTTTACGAATATTTTAATAAATACCGAGCATATTACTAAAATACAAATATAATAATTAAAAATAAAAATATTTAAAAAGAAAAAAAAAAAAAAAAAACCTTTTTTTTTAAATAATAGAAAACAAAATATTTTTTTTTTATTTTTTTTTAAATTTTATTTTATTTATCTTTTATTTTTTTATTGGGAATATTTATATTTTAACATATGACCTGATAGTTTTTTTTTTGATGAAATAAAAATAGAATTTTTTTAAATATACTTTTAAAATACTATTATTATTTTTATTTTTTTATTTAACTATTAAATTAATTTTTTAATTTTTTATTTAATTAAATATTTTTTTATTTTTTTTCCTTTTTTTAATTTTTTGTTTATTCCTTTTTTTTTTTGGACACCCCCCCCTTTTGGGTTAAAAAAAAAAAATTAAATTTTGCCATTTTCCCCCCCGGAATTCGGGGCTCCCCCCCAGGAAACCCCCCCCAATTCCAATTTTTAAAAAAATTGTAAAAAAAAAAAAATTTTTTTTTTTTTTTTTTTTTTTTTTTTTTTTTTTTTTTTTTGGTTGTTGCTTTTTTTTTTTTTTTTTTTTTTTAATTTAAAATTTAAAAATAATTTTAAATTTAATAAAAAAAATTAAAGTTTTATTATTTCATATCTATTTATATAAATGAAATACTGTATAATATCTCTTTTAATAAATAGTAGTTAGAAAAATAATATTATAATTAACTTAAAGATTTTTTTAATATTTTATTTTGATAAATAATTATATCAATTTTTTTAAAAAAAAACATAGTAGCAAAACTAATATAACAACTAAAAAAAAGGTACAACAAAAAGTAAATATAAATATATTAGGTAATATAAAAATAAGGTACAACAAAAAGTAAATATAAATATATTAGGTAATATAAAAATAAAAATAAAAATAAAAATAAAAATAAAAATAAAAATAAAAATAAAAATAAAAATAAAAATAAAAAAAAAAAAGAAATATAAATATAATTATAAATAAAAATATAATTATAATATAACAAAAATACACATTCCCAAATCTCATCCTTATCAAAAACACCCACCCAAAAAAAAAAAAAAAAAACCAACCACGCACACATAGACAAATTTAATATAAATTTTTTTTAAAATAAAACTAAAAATATATTTGGAAACTTAACATCAAAACATCATCAATCAAAATCAATAAGTAGTATTTATTTTTAAATATAATCTTTCTTTCATCATCACTATCATCACCAACACCAATTTGTTAACAAAATTTTTTTTTTTAAAATTTTAATTAAACAATCCAACCTTTCCTTTTTTTTTTTTAATTGTTGTGATGTTTTTGTATATGTATTCTTGTTTTAGTTATTTCTTCATGTCTGTTTGTTTGGTTGTTGTAATTTTAGTGAGTATGGTAAAAAAAAAATAATATGGTAATAAGGAAATAAAGATAATAAAAATAATAATAATAATAATAACTTATTGATCAAATAACACTAATATTAAAAAATTTCGAGTGTATTTATTAAAAAAATAAAAATTAAATAGAAAAAAAAAAAAAAAAGTTTTTTATTTTTTTTTTATTTTAATTTTTTTTTATTTTTATTTTTATTTTTATTTTTATTTTTTTTTTATTTTTTGCTTTTTTTTAAATTTATTTTTTTATTTTTCCACACTAACATTTTTTTTCTTTTATATCAATAAAAATCCTCAGATAAAAAGAATATAATATTTTATTTTTAAACAACATCAAACAGTGTATACTATAGTGTGTATGTTTGTGTTTTAGTATATAAATTATATAATAATATACAGTTAAAACATCCATATATTTTTATGCATAGAGAAATAATTTTAAAAAAATAAAAAAATAAAAATAAAATAAAATTTTTTAAAAAAATAATAGTAATTTTCTAAAAAAATAAAAAAATAAAATTATTATTATTTAAACCGTATTTCCAAATAAAAAAATAAAATAAAAATTAAATAAAATAAATAATAACCTAACAACAAAGCAAATCCTCTCTTTTCTAAATTCCTTTGATTTAGAAAAAAAAAAAAAAAACAGTATAGTTTAAAACAACAATAAAACTAAATAAATAATTATCCTGTTTGTGTGTATTTTTTTATTTTTTATAATAATAATAAATTTAATAATAAAATAATTAATTAATGGTAAAATCAATAGTTTCTTATTTAATTCACCCAATATATTCAATCAGTCCATAAACAGTTAAATATATTAATACATCAAGATAAAGTCAAGTATCAAAACTATTAAAAAACGTATTATAGAAATAAAAGATTTTTATTTTATTTCAATTAGAACTGGCAACCTCAAATTATTTTAATTTTCAAATAAATTTAATATAAAAGAAAAAAAAACAAGGTAGAAGAAATGCAGCCTGTACCAAATGACCCAAATTTATCATTGTTAAGATCACTTTTTTTAGACCCAAACAATCGGTGCTGTGCTGAATGTAATTCACCGGTATGTAAATTAAAATAGTTATAATAGTTTTTTTAAAAAAAAAAAAGAAATACAATATTAATTTTTTATTTTTTTTATTTATCATTTAGAATGTACCATATGTTTGCATTAAATTAGGAGTATTTATTTGCCCAACATGCGCACATTTTTTGAGCACTATAGGATTTAAAGTTAGACCAATTATGGGCAGCTCATTTACAGAGGATGATATATCAAGATTACAATCAATTGGTAATTTAGTCTCAAAACAATTTTGGTTAGCAAGATGGTCACCAATGGAAATTCCAATGCCACCACCAGACGATCCAAAACTTGAAGCATTTTTACGTTTAAAATATATAGAAAAAAGATGGACATCCTCTTTATCAACTTCGGATGGTTTTTCTTCACCCTCTGGTCAAATCCAACAACCACAACAAAACTATAATAATTTAAGTAATGGCCACCATAATAATATAGGTACTAATGGGATTAATTTGGCTCAATCAGATGTTGTCCCAATTGTAAATAAGCAATCACAACAGCAACAGCAACAGCAACAACAACAACAACAGGGCTTTTCACCATTCCAATCACCTCATTCTTCACCAAAACCAGGTAGACACTTAATTGATGATTTTATGGGAAGTTGTAGTAATTCAAGTAATAGTTTTAATAATGGAAATCCACTAAAGTTTAGCGGAGGAATGCCGCCACAACAAAATGGAGTTTATAATCAACAGTTAAATAATAATAGTAATAATAATAATAATAACAATAAAATGCCATTTGACCCATTTTCACCAATAAAGCCATATGAAAATAATAGTGGTAATAATAGTACTAATAACAGTGGCCAACATGATTTCCAAACCACATCTCCATATGGACAACCACTTTCAACATCTGGTAATACTTTAATTGATATTTTAGGTCATCCAGCTAAATCCAAATCACCTTCACCTTCAAATACACCACAGGGTTTATCACCACAGCATCATTCTTCAGATTTTAAAGTTCATTTAATAGATATACCAAATAATGCTAATGGTATTGGTAATTTAACAAGTGGAAATAGCTCAAGCCAACCATTACCTCAACTTCACTCTCCTTCAAATCCATTTTCATCATCAAACCATGAACCTCTAATAAATTTACATGATGATTTACATAATAGCAGTAATGGTAACCACCAAATGACTTCACCAACACCTCAACAAAATTTAAGTAAAAGTAACCCATTTGTAGAAAATAAACACCCAAATCATTTACATCATCACCATCGTCATCACTCTGCAAATATTAGTAATAGTGATTTATCATCCATATCATTTACATCATCACCATCACCCTCACCTTCTTTAGGTTATCAAAATAATCAAAACCAAAATAATATAGTGAATAATTTTTCAAATTTAGGTATAACAGGTTCTACATCAAGCACAAGTAGCAGTTCAAATATAACGATAAATAATAGTAATATAAATAATAATAATAATAATAATAATAATAGTAACAACAATAATAATATAAACAATAATAATATACATAATAATTCTAATAGTTCTAATAATATAAGTACAAGTGGTGGTCAAATGGTATCTCCATCACCATCACCAAATCCATTTTTACCTGTACAAATTTCAAATTCAGCAAATAATACAAATCAAAATAATATAGTTACTCCTATTCCAATCAATCCATTTTTTGATCAACAACATCCAAATAGACAATCGAATCAAGTTCAACATCCACAACAAATGTATATTCAACAACAACAACAACAGCAACAACCACAAACCCCACAAACTCCACAGACTCCACAGACTCCACATCAATATCTATCACCATCTTCTGCACCATTACAACCTGTAATTCACTCACCAATACCATTACAACCACAACATTCTTCTTCACAATTTTTAAATCAACAATTCTATCAACAACCAATCCAGCCACAATCACCAACTCCTCAAGCCCAACAACCAGCTGCTCCACCACCATCATCCACTCCACAACCACTTCACAGTAGCACTGATGAGGACCCAACAGTTTTGGAGGTTTTAAATTTGAAGAAGCTTTATGATATGAGCATGATGGACAAAGAAGAGTTCGAGCACAGAAGGAGACAAATTATTGATAATTTAACTAAAACAACTTCTCCAATTCCACAAGGACCACCTCAACCAGTTTCAGCACCAGCAGTACAACAGCAACCACAACAACAACAACAACCAATTCAAACACCACAACAGCAACCACCACAACCACAATCTGCACCAGTTTCACAAGCTACTCCACAAGCTGCAATGCCAGCTGCAGTCCCAATTCCAGACCCAAGATTAACAGGGACTGAAAGAGTTATTAGACATCGTTTTGATGCCAAATTAGGAAAATGGGTACAAACAGCCACAATTGTAATTACCGAGCCAACTCCATTTGCAGAAGGTGCAATGAGAAAAGCATTTAGAATGAAAGATTTATCTGCAGAAGGTCCTTCATCGCAAATGGTTGCTAAATTATTTAAAGATGCTAATGAAGATAGAATGGTTTATTTTAAAGATGTAGAGATGCAAACTTATGCCAAAGAAATTGCAGAACGTTTCAATCTTAAAGGTCCACCAAAGAAAATTGATTTTGTGCCAGCATTTGTTATGGAGTTAGTCGAACGTCAAGGAAAACCATTCTGTGCAGTAGAGTACTTTATTGAGGGAAAGTATGAAAAGCATAATAATAATTTTGGTTACAAAAACGATTTTGATAGAAATACACCACAAGCATTCAGCCATTTTAGTTATGAAGACTCTGGATGTCAATTAATTGTTGTTGATATTCAAGGTGTTGGTGATGTTTATACTGATCCACAAATTCATTCAGCTGATGGTCAAGGTTTTGGCAAGGGCAATTTAGGCATTGAGGGTATTAAGAGATTCTTTTCAACTCATCAATGTAATCCAATTTGCCATTTCCTTGGTTTATCAGCCGTCAATCCCAAACCTGCAAACGACGAGTCTGGTACAATGCCAAAACCACCTTCATTAGGTCAAGGTGGTTCTTATATTCGTCCTTCTGTTTATCCTCCAAACCTATCACAGTCCTTTTCTTTTAATTTCCCACCATTAAAAGATCAACAAAATAACAATAATATAAATAACAACAATAATAATAATCAAAATAGTAATCAAAATGATCAACAGTCTGGTCATGCTCCACCACAAACTCCACTACCTCCACTTCCACAACAAAAAGAAAAACCAAAAATTGAAGTATTTGGTGATATGCTAAGAAAATTGGTTTCTTAAATAATAATTATAATAATAATCTATACATATTGATTCGATTTGTAGAATATTCAAAATAATATGAATAATAATAGTATTTGCGTTGTAAAATTAATATCAATAATATCATTCTGTAAATAATGGTATTCCAACAAAAAAAAAAAAAAAAAAAAAATTTAAAAAAAAAAAAAAAAAAAAAAAATAATTTCTAATCACATAGAACAGTTTGATGAATACTATCATTAGATTTGATAAGATAATTCAACTCTGTTTCTCTTTTTTTATATTTTTTTTAAATATAAAAAAAAAACTTTAATAAATCAACTACTTTTAAAATATTTTCATTTTTTTTATTTTTTTATTTTTATTTTCAAATTGTATAATTAATTTTTATAACATTTTTCATTTTAATAAAATAAATAGATAAATTAAAAAAAAGATAAAAAAACACATGCAATCTTTTGATATAGAATTTTAAAAAGAAAAAAAATAAATAATAAAAAAAAAATAAAAATCAACCTAAGTTGGGTTTGGTCTATCTCCTATATAGGAGATCTAGAATGTTTATTAACTTATTTAAATTTTCATCTATTGATTTATTATTATAAATACTTTTCTCTTTCTTTAAATAAAAAAACATTTTTGTATAAAAAAGTTATTTTCTTTGTTTTTGATTCTGGGTATTTTCACATACATCACACAATAATGCTATTTGTTTAATATAATCGGAATCTAGGTTATCCTTATTTTGTCTAACCTGATTAATTTTTTCCTTGAGATTATCGTCAATGACGTGGTTATTTCTTGATAAAATGGGAATTTCCCTTTCTTTTTTTTCTCGAGTTTTGTGAGAACATCCAAATCCTTTCAGAATACTGATTTTGGTTTTGTTTTGGTATATCAATCTTCATGATAATCTTCAAAAAAAAAACCATCCTATGAACTTTCAAAAAAGAATTTTCTTCATTGTCATCTCTTATTTTTGGATACAATCCAATATAATTCTCAATTAAATCTGATATACTATCTTCAACTATTGTTTCAAACCTTGAATACTTAAGGAATTAATTTGGTGGATCGAATCTCTTACTTCCTCAAATCTCTTATTTGTCTTGGAGTTCTGTTTTTCTTTAGTTTTAACTCTTGTTTTTATTTCTTTTAAAATATTAAATAATTATTTCTCCATACAATAAAAAACATTTTATCTGTATTAATTTCTTTAATATTATTTGTTTCCATCATAAAATTAATATTTTTAATAAAAAAAACAATTATAAAAAATAAAAACACATTTTTTATTTATATTAAAATTAAATTTTTTTTTATTTTTTTAATTTTTATTTTTTTATCTTTTAAAATTTTTTTTGTTATTAAAATTTTTATTTTTTTATTATCTTTTTTTTTTTTCTTTTTTTTTTTTTCTTTATACTGTCTCTTTATTAAATAAAATATGAGTTGGGAAAACAATAATAATCGCAATGCTTATAGTTATAATATAAATAGTTTTAATGAATATAATAATATGAATAATAACACAAACAATAATATTAATAATATGAATAATAATAACAATAATAATATGAATAACAATAACAATAATGGCCAAAATACATATTATCAACAGCCACAGCAATATCAACAGCAAATACCATCTCCTGTACAAAATAGATACCAACAACAACAGCAACAACAAACAAATAATCAACAAAGACAGGGCACAGCTACTCAACAACCATATCCCAAACAGGTAAATCCTCAAATTGTTTTCAATAGCAATAATAATATTTATAACCAAACCTCTAACCCTATAGCAATTCAACAATCCCCACAACAGTTGAATAATTTTAAACCCCTCTCGCCATCCTCTTCCTCATCAATACAACCCTCTACATCACCCCAATCTTCATTTTATAATAATATGAATAATATGAATAATATGAATAATATGAATAATAATAATAATAATAATAGTAATAATAATAATAATAATAATAATAATAATAATAATAATAATAATAATAATAATAATAATAATAATAATAATAATAATATGAATAATATGAATAATATGAATAATATGAATAATATGAATAATATGAATAATATTAATAATAATATGAATAATAATAATAGTGGTAATAATAATAATACAAATGGTGATAATTTTTCAAATAGTAATAACAATGGTAATGGCTATATCAATTCGCCAAACAATGAGAAGCTATCAAGGTCACCTTTATCAATGAATGCGTCTCCTATTCATTTCAATGACCCACCATTTAAAGTACCTGTACATTTACCTTTATTATCTATTACATCATTAAACTCATCAATAGACAGCAATAAACTAAATAGTAGTGGAGGTAGTTCATTCAACTCCACGCCAACAAAACAACCACACCAACAACAACAGCAAGAATATAGTCCATATAATACTTATTCAAATATATATAACCAAGCGCAAAATTTTTATAGTAATAATAGTCCAAAAAGTACAAATTTTTTTATACCAGAACAAACTAATAATAATTTAAATGTAAATAAATATCAATCAATCCCCAAAAATAATAGCAATCAATATCAACCACAAAACACTCAATATAATCATTTACAGAGTATCACTTCATCACACCAACAACAAAACCCCTCACCATCAAATAGTAGCCAACAAAACTATTCTCCATCCCATCAAAATATACTGCAAAATCAATATCAACATCAAAATATCAAGCAACCATCCCCATTACAACAACAGTCACAACAAAATATGCAACCCAAAAGAGGTTCACACGAATATAATAATGATGAGAAAACTAAAGTTCAAAAAACAAAAATTCCCAGCCCCCAAAAAAATTTTATTAATAATTTTCATATAAAAAATATTAATATTCAAAGTAACCATGTAAATAACAACAGTGTAAATAGTAATAGTATTAATAATAATACAAATAATAATATTAACAATAACAATATTAACAATATTAACAATAATAACAATAATAATAATAATAATAATATTAATAATATCAACATGAATATGGGTAATAATATTGTAAATACTATGAGTAATAATATAGGTATGAGTAGTAATAACAATAATAATAGTAATAATAGCAATATTAATAATAATAATATGAACAACATAAATAATTTAAATGGCAATATAAATCTATTTAATAATTTTCAACAATTAGAACAACATCAACAGCTTTTACAATCTCAGCTAATACAACAAGCACATTTACAAGACTTAAAATTATTAAAGCAAAATAGTATTTATCTTGGCGGTAATGAAATCAAAGATTTAATGAATCAACCAACCGAATTCACTGATATAGAGTATCCAGAAATTAAAGGTAAATTTAGAATTTTAGAAAAAATAGGTCAGGGAACATTTAGCGGCGTTTATAAATCAGTTTGTCTTTATGGACCAAATACAGGATTAATTGTAGCATTAAAACGTGTTGCCCCAACTTCATCACCTGCAAGAATTTTAAATGAAATACACAGTTTGTTAAGAGTTGGTGGATCCCACAATGTCTCAGCGCTATTGGGTGTACTAAGACACAAAGACCAAGTTACATTGGTATTGCCATATTTCGAACATGACTCTTTTAAAGATTACTTTTTCCAAATGACAAATGATAATATTCAAAAATACCTATTGGCTTTGTTTACCTCACTCAAATGGATACATAAAAATAGTATTTGTCACAGAGATGTAAAGCCAACAAACTTTCTATACTCTCAAAAAAGGAACTCGTTTATGTTGATTGATTTTGGTTTAGCTCAAGAAATGCCCGAAAATAATGAGGCTAATAACAATAGCAACAACAATAACATCAAAGATGAAACTACAACGATACAAACAACCAATAATAACAACCCAAAACCCTCAGCGAAACAAACAAATACCAAAAATGATATAAAGTAAGAACCATTACATTTTAAAACAATAGTTATTATTTAAACTAATTTTTATTATTTATTTCTATTTAAAAGACCACAACAAGCCCCAAGAGCAGGCACTAGAGGATTTAGAGCACCAGAAGTTTTATTAAAATTTAATAAGCAAACAACTGCAATCGATATATGGTCAGTGGGTGTCATACTATTATGTATCATTACTGGTAGATATCCATTTTTTATTTCGCCTGATGATATGACAAGCTTAGCAGAAATTGTTTCAATCATTGGCACAAAGAAAATTATTGAAGTAGCTCAACTATTAGATAAAAAAGTTCAAACATCACATCCAATTCCTCCAACCTCTTGGAGAGATTTATCAAAACGATTAAGGAGCGAATCCAGCGAAAATAAAGAGGATGTTCCCTCTGAATTATATGACCTTTTAGAAAAATGTTTAGATCCCAATCCATTTACTAGAATTAGCGCAAGTGATGCTATTAAACACCCTTTTCTTTTAAAAAGTTTTATAAACTAATAATGTAAATAATTAACAAAGAATAACATAGTAAATAATAAAATAATAAATGTAATATCTAAACAAATAAATAAAATAGATAACCGATTGGTTATTTATTTATATTTTTTTTTTATAAAAATTATATTTATTTAAACAGTTAAAATCTTTTTATATTTTAATTTATGTGGGTCATATTTTTTACCGGTACGACGTGTTCTATCTTCATCATATGAAGCATAATTACCTTCGTGAACTACAACATTACCTTCACCTTCGAATGAAACAATATGGGTACAAAGACGATCCAAGAAATAACGATCGTGAGAAATAATGACAGCACAACCTGGGAAATCCTCTAAAGCTGTTTCGAGATTTCTTAAAACATCAACATCTAAATCGTTAGTTGGTTCATCGAGTAATAAGAGGTTACAACCTTTTTTGATCATTTTGGCAATGTGAACACGATTACGTTCACCACCAGAAAGAGAACCAATGAATTTATCTTGCTCTTGACCTCTGAAATTGAATTGACTGATATATTCTCTTACATGAATTTGATGGAGACCCATATTAACGACATCATCACCGTCAGCTACCTCTTCATAAATGGTTTTATCGTCATCTAATGAGCTACGTGATTGAGAAACAAAGCCCATACGAACAGTTTCACCAACTCTAACTGAACCAGTTTCTGGTTTTAATTCACCGGTCATAATTCTAAAGAGTGTAGATTTACCGGTACCGTTAGGACCTACAATACCAACAATTGAACCTGGTTCGATATTTAAATTTAAGTTTTTGAAAAGAGTACGACCGTCAAAACTCATTGAAAGATCTCTTGCCTCGAATACTAATTTACCGAGACGTGGACATGGTGGGATTGAGATTCTACCTGGTTCTCTATACTTTTCTGGTGCACTAGTTACCAAATCATTGTATTTATCGATACGAGTTTTGTTTTTTTTGGTTTGAGCTTTAACACCTGCTTGAAGATATTCTAATTCTTTTTTAATTGCTTTCTTTCTACCCTCTTCTTTTTTATTTTCGACTGCTAAACGAGATTCCTTGTGTTGTAACCATTTTGTATAATTTCCTTTAAATGGTATTAAATCACCACGGTCAATTTCTAAAATCCAATTTGCAACATTATCCAAGAAATAACGATCGTGAGTAACTGCAATAACAGTACCTTTGTATTCTTTAAGGAAACGTTCTAACCAAGCAACACTCTCTGCATCTAAATGATTGGTTGGTTCATCTAATAAAATGATATCTGGATTTGAAAGTAATAAACGAGCTAAAGCAACTCTACGACGCTCACCACCTGATAATGTTTCGACACTGCTTTCACCTGGTGGGCAATTCAATGCATCAATTGCAATTGCAATCTTTCTCTTTAGATCCCAAAGTTTTTCTTCTTCAATAATATCTGCCAACTCTTCTTGTCTTGCTTCTAATTGCTTTCTCTCTTGTTTTGTTAATTCTTCATCCTCATCTTCTAAACGCTCTGTAATCTCTTCGTGTTCATCTAAAATTTCTTTCTTTTCATAAACACCATCAAAAATATTTTCTTCTACATTTTTTTCTGGATCCAACTCTGGTTCTTGGTGAAGATAACCCACTGATATATCTTTTGAAAGTAGCACTTCGCCGTCAATCTCTGTATCTTCTTGTGCAATGATCTTCATAAATGTTGATTTACCAGAACCATTACCACCTAACAAACCAATTTTGGCGCCATACATAAATGAAAGTGAAGTTGGTTTTAAAATATCTCTTCCTGTGTCTTCGAATACTTTTCTAACATTAACCAATGATAAAATAATTTTTTCGGTTTCATTTTTATTATTGTTATTATTATTGGCTTTATTGTTTTTATTGTTTTTACTTGAGTAATTGTTTTTAAAGTTCTTTTCTAAAAACTCTTGGCAAAATAATTTATTTTTATTTAAACTATTATCATTACTATTTTGTAAAACAATTTTATTATTTGAAGTGATACATCTTGTATTTATAATATTGCTACCATTATTCTTTGATATATTATACAAAGATAATGGTTTTCTTAATTTTGTAAATGATGACAACATAATAACAAGATATTATTTATTGCATTCAATTAAAAAAATATAAAATGGTTTATAAAAAAAAATTTTAAGAAAATAAAAAATTTAAAAAATAGTTTTTAGTTTTTTAAAAAAATAAATTAATTTAAAAAAAAAAATAAACGAAAAAAAACAAAAAAAAACGAAATGAATAAGGTTAATAATTATGAATAATAAAAATAAATAAATTTATAAAAATGTTATAATATAATGTGGATATATTATATATTTATTAAATTTAATAATTTGAATATTTCGGAATATTATTTTTTATTTAAAATATTTAAATAAAAAATATGGGTGGGGTTGTTTAGATTAATGGTTTTTCATCATGATCATCATCTAAGCTTGCTTCATCGTCGAATAAATTTTGTTGTTTAGCATTTCTATGGGATGAAACATTTGAATAAATTTTAGAATCTTCAACAGACTCTAATTCTAAATCGTGGGAGGATGCTACCAATTTCTCGAAAATCTCGATGGCTTCAGTTGCTAATGGTGGCATTTTCTTTCTAAACCAAACTTTAAAGTATTTATCATCGATTGATTGATATATTTGAGATCTTTCTTTATTTTTGGTTACTTTGTTTAATGGTTTTGAAATATTATCTAATGACTGATCACTTGATGATGTTTTAATACCCAATACTTTTAATAATGGATAAGTTCCAATACCAAATACAAAGATTGTAAATATTACTACTAATAATGTGTTGGTACGAATTAATTGTGTTTGTGGAGATACATAATCAATTGATAATGCAAATGCGAATGCACCTCTTAAACCTGCAAACCAAATTGCAATTTGAATAGTCCAAGGAATCTTATTCTTGATGAATCTATTTAAAATGAGACACATTGGGAAGATTGCTAATGCTCTTGAAACTACTGTAAAGAACTAAATAGTATTAAAAAGTTAGTATGGTTATTTATTTTTTTTATAAATGAAAAATAAACTTACTAAACTCCAGCTAAATAATCCAATATCAAAAGTAAATTCGTGGAAACTTAATGACATTCCCATATAAATGAAAACTGCAGTTTCACAAATAAATGCTGCGGTTCTAAACAATTGTCTTGAGGTTAACTTTGTATATGGTGATAAACTATATGCACCATATTGATTAAAAGTAATACCGAAAAAGAATACTGCCAAAACACCTGAAATATCCAATGCATTTGCTAAAACATATGACATATATGAAAACATAACCATAAAGATAGTTTCTAAAGCTGGGAATTTACCAATATTAACCCATTTTAATATCTATAACAAGAATATTGAATTAATTTTAATAATATTGAGTATATTAATAATTATTACTTTGTATACTTACTAATGATAATAAAACTGCCATAACAACACCTAAAACAACACTACCCAAACCAACTACTAAAAACATAGCACAGGATATAATAATATCATGGGTGCTGGTTTGCTCAACGACTCTATATAAAAAGATTGAAGCGGCATCATTTAGAATACTTTCACCTAAAACCAACATGTATAATAATGGATCTACATTAAGAGCTTGGAAAATTGCCAATGTGCAAACTGGATCAGTGGAACTAATAATGGCGCCAAATGCTAATGAATCTTTTAATGATAATATAACTGAAACACCTGATTTTCCAACTGTATAAATACCAAAACCTACCGATAAAAATGTAATAATTGTACCAAAAATAGCAAATGATAAAATTGGAACAATATTTTGGAAAAAGTCAGTCTAGTATAATAAAAAAGATTGGTATTAGGATTAATATCAACAAAAATATAATATATAATATTTGTGTATAAATACCTTTGGTAAAGAGAAACCAGTTTCGAAAATAATTGTTGGTAAGATGAATAAGAAAAAGCTTTCAGGGTTGAAATTTACTACCTGTTTAACGATATGACTATATGAGAATCTAAAGATAACACCTAATAAAATACCATATGTGACAATGGCAACAGATTCTGGAATAAATGGAATATCCATTTTAATTACAACATAAACAATTAATACAGCACCAGTCAAAATGAACAATACAATAAATATAATAGTATTGGCATCCTGTTGGTTTGACAATGCTCCTTGACCACCATCATCTCCGCTGCTACTTTCTGTAGTATTGGTATGACTGCTACTACCGCCTGTGACACCTCCTGGTGGGACAGTTGGGTTTACTCCAACTTTATGCTGTTTATTATCTGTAGGTCCAAGCTTGGATGATACCAAAAACAACTCTTGGTTATTTATTTTATTATTAACTTCATTATTGTTGTTGTTGTTGTTGTTATTATTATTATTACTATTTAACTCGCTGGCAAATGATAATTGTAAAAATAAAATTGCTAATGTTACTACTATTATAAAAGAAATTGATTTATTATAAAAAAATTTCATAATTATACTACTACTACTACTATTTGTTTATTTATTATCTAATATTTGGGTGAATTATTATGGGTAGTTGTTACTTTTTTTTTTTATTTTTTAATAATAATAAAAAAAAGATAAAAGTGCCTTTATTAAATTATATTATATATATATATATCTTTTTATTTTTAAAATAAAAATAAATAAAATTAATTTTAATTATTTAATTATTATAATAATTAATTATAATAATTATGTTTTATTTATTTTTACTAATTTAACAAATTCTATATATGTGTTATTTGTGTGTGTGTTCTAATGTAAAATAAAAAATAATAATTAAAAAAAAAAATAAAATAAAAAATAAAAAATAAATTTCAAAATAAAATTATTTTATTTATTTTTCTTAATTTTTTTTTTTCTTTTTTCAATATTTTCAATTTTTTTTTTCTTTTTTTTTCGGGTTTAAGATCAAAATTTTTTATTTTCTTTTCCCACATATGCAAGAATCTTGTTCAAATCTTTACAAAAGAAAGATGATCTTTTTTTTTTTTTAATGTTTTTGTTTAAACAATTATAAATGAAATTTCATCAAATATAAATAAGTAAAATTACAAATAACATAAACATCTTTGTTTGTTTTGTAATAAATACTAATAAGAGCAATGGTTATTTTTCTTGGAATTACAATAATAAAAAAATAATACAAACAATGAAATTAATAATAATAATAACAATAATATAATCAACAATCAAATATTGCTAAGTTATTTGGTTTTAGAATCATACCATTTACCTATTTACTATTTTAATTCCTTATATAATTCTTTATTATCATAATTATTTATAATAAAAATGGTTTAGCAGATATTTTGAATTTTTTTTAAAATTTTTTTTATATAAATTTTTTTTTTTTCATTTTTATTGTGAAAAATTTCAGAAATTAATTTTTTTTTTTTTTGTTTTGTTGTGACCTAAAAACCCTCAATAAGCTCACTCCTCCCCACTTTCAAAAAGGAAACCAATTGGTTTCAAAAAAAAAAAAAAATAAAAACCAATAAAAATAAATAGTCCAACCCCTATAATAAAAAAAAATCTATGAAAAAAATATCTAATAATATTAATAAATAATAATAATATAATAAAATCATAATTACTATAAATAAATTATATAATAAATATATAAAGTTAAATATTTTATAGTTCATTAATATGACAATTATTCAACCACAACCAATAAGAAACAATATATTTTGGAATAATATCGAACCTTATATAAGCTCAACATTTATACTACAACAGTACTCTGGTCCTCTATGGTGGTCAGATGATTATAGAGTTGTTTTATTATGTGGTGGTGATATTGGAGGTAATTGTCATTCATCGAGTTATTTAATAGCCACCTCGCCATCTTTTACCGAAATTGTAGAAAGTTGGCAAATCATAAATACAGTTTATCAAGAAAAAGTTGAAAAAACAGGTCTTTTGCAATTCTCTGACACTTTTTTGTTACACATCTATAGAAAGTTGGCAAAGAAATTATGCAAGATTAATACTATACTCCAGAGCACTTCTGAATCAAAGTCAACTACACCCACATCTTCGACTGTATCAATTCCTTCAGTATTATCAGGATCTCCATCTACATCAGTTTCAGCTTCACCTTCATCACAACCACCAAATTCTCTTTCATCCATAACTATACCATTTGCAATTACCCAACCAACAGCCCTCCAACAAAATAATAGTAATTTTAATGGTAGTGTCGGTGGTTTTTCCACATTAACACCTTCAACATCACCATCACCCCAATCAATATTAGAACAACCACAGCAGCAGCCATTACAGATTGAATGTATTGAACTGGGTAAACAAAGAAAAGTTTTAATGTTGTTTAGAACCTTATATCATAAAGACCGTTTATCATTGATAGAAAAGAACTATGTAAAGTATTACCTAAACAATGAATGGGTAGATTGGGTAGATGAAAGTACTGGTATGAGACCAATTCATGTAGCAACAGAGAAAAAGGATATACAGTTAATAAAGCTTTTATTAGAACATAAAGCCGATGTCGATTTAAAGGATTCTCAAGGTTGGGCGCCACTTCATTTTGCAGCTTTTGCTGGTAGTTTAGAGATATGCCAATTGCTTATAGAACAAGGTGATGCATCAGTTTTATCAATCTCAAAGGATGGTACAGTACCATTACACTATTTAGTACGTCATTCATTTTCAGAAGCATCCCAAACAGTAAAGTTCCGAGTGGTTTTAAATTTACTCTTAGATAAAGGCACACCAGTCAATGCTAAAACAATTAGAGGAGAATCAGCATTACATAGAGCATGTTATAATGGTTCACTTTTAGCAGTTCAATATTTGATTGAGAAGGGAGCAAATTTAAATATTCAAAATAATCGTGGTGAAACTCCTTTATTCTTTGCAGTCGCAAGTCACCAAAAGAAAATTGTAAAGTTGTTAATGGAAAATGGTGCAGATTGTAATTTAGGAGGTTCAACAGGCTCTGCAATTCAAATGGCTTCAAAAACCAATCAAACTGAAATTATGTACTTTTTAATAGGATTCTCAAATGACGATAAAAGTGTTCAAGATAGATTACAAAAAGAGGAGGAAGAGAAACGTTTACAAGAAGAGTTGAAAAAACAAGAGCAGATCGATAATCAAAAAAGTCAAAACTATTCAAAATCACACAAAAATAATGCACCTTTTTTTCCACATGTATTTGTGTACATTGATTTTAATACACCAACCCATTGTTCGCTGTGCAGTTATTTATTATGGGGTTATCGTAAGCAAGCTTATCTTTGTGAAGTATGTGGCTACGTAGTTCATCCAAAGTGTAGAAAGAAAGCTACCCTAACTGAAAATTGTGAAATTTCCGAACAGATTTCAAATATGGTTAGAGTTTCAGATGGCTCAGGTAGAGATTTAAATTCATCTGGCAGTAGTGTAGTAGATGACTATTTATCATCGTCCAGGGACCTAAGTGTTGCACCAGTTTCTTTGCATACCCAAAATAGTAAGAGAATTAATTTATATCATATTTTTATAAATAACTCATTTTAATATTAAATATTTTTTTTTTAGTCAATAGAAAAAGATTAGAAAGTTTATACAACCATTTTACATCATTGGATAAGGATAAAAAAGGTATGATTTTAAAAAAAGACTTTGGAGATTGTTTAGGCACGATTTTAAATGGTTCAAGCTCAATATCAAATTCATTGTTTGAAGCATTCGATTCGAACAAAGACGACAAATTAAATTTAAATGATTTTTTAAATGGTATATCAATATTACAAAACTCATCTTTTAATAGGCAAATTAAATGTAAGTTAATTTTTTTTATATATCATCATTACCAAAAAAAAATCTATTAACATTGCTTTTTCATTTCTTAGTTGCATTTAAAATGTTGGATAAAGAGCAAAAAGGCTATATTACAGTTGATGAACTTTTAACTATTTTAGAATCAATCTGTTCATCACTTAGCAGCTTAAAAATCATTACAACCTCACCATGCTCAATTATAAAACAGCTATTCCCTCAATTTTATATAGGTAATCAAATCAAAGAAGAGTTAAATAAAAGTTTTAATAGTAATAATAATCTTCGTTATAGTAACAATATTCGTTATAGTCTCAATCTTAATAACAGTAGTAATATTTGTATTGATAATAATAATTGTAATAATAGTCAAAATAATAATATTAATAATAATAATAATATTTCAGGATCCCCATCGACAAGCTTTTCATTATCACCATCAACTAGTTTTTCATCAACTCCTTCAAGTGCAAATATAAACATAGGCCATGAAAAATTGTTAATATCAAATAAAAACTCATCATTAATTAGAGATAAAATAGTATCATCGTCATATGAATCAATAAATAGTGATATTAGTGAACATTCAAATAGTACATCATTTAATACATCAATTAAACATAATAGTAATTTTAGTAAAAAAAATATTAGACAACCTTTTAACTCTCAACAAACAGACCCAATAAACTCGATTGGATATCATCGTACCCTTAAAAAATTTTCAGATGTTTTAGATATTAATCAAAATAACCAAAATGATAGTCCCGATAGCAGTAGTATTAGTAGTTTAAGCAAAACACCAACTAAATCAATGACTGATATGCCCAAAGTTGAACAAGAAATTATGGATGATGCCCATAAATCTCAATCATTACCAGACTTACCATCACACAAACCAATTAATAATAACAGTGGTTTTACATTAGAACAACAAAAGTTATTACAACAACAATTAGGAAATAGGTTACCAACTTTAAATAATCATTCATTAACATCATTTTCACCATTTTTAAATGAAACTGTAAATGACAAAAGACTTTTTAAATTAGATGGTAAAATCTTTTTCAAGGAATATAGAGATGTTATATCAAATAATTTATATTTTGTAAAAAGTTTAGGGTTGGTAAATCATTTCGAAACTTCAATCTCAAGTAATGGAATGATTGAAAATAGATCATCAAACTGGGTAGCATCACAAGGAAAAGATATTACTATTGGCCATGAAAGCTGGGACCTAATTCAATTTATAATGATTGGTATTCGTAGAGCTGTAGGTGAAGCAATTGCACTCCCAAATAGAGCATTAAAACCAAAAGATTTCGAATTAATTGTAGAATTCAAGTATAATGGTTGGTTATTTAAAGATCATTTCCCAATGGCATTCAAAAAGATAAGAGAGCGTTTGGAAATTGATACGAAAATGTTTATGTATTCTCTTGGTCCAGAAAGAGTATTTGGTAATCTTTTACTTGGTAACCTATCAGCACTCAGCGAAATAGATTCTAGTGGTAGAAGTGGAAGTATGTTTTTCCGTTCTAGTGAGGGTGATTATCTTATTAAAACCATTCCATCCAATGAAGAGGCAGTATTAAAGAACATTTTACCTGCATACGTTCAACACCTTCAAAAGTACCCCAACTCATTGTTAATTAAACTATTAGGCTGCTATTCATTGCAAACAAAAAGCAGAGCTGAAATGAAGTTCTTGGTTATGAACAATCTATTTTTTACACCATTGCCTATTGCAGAGAAATACGATTTGAAAGGCTCAACAATTGGTAGACATGTAGAAATTAATGAATTGGATCAAGGTTCAGATGAAATTGAAGATCTCGATCAGCAAATAACAATCGAAGATAAAATGGCACAAATTGCATTAAAAGATTTAGATTTCAAGAGAATTTTAGATATAGGTACAGAATTTAAAGCACCATTACTCGAACAAATTGAACACGATACTAAATTTTTGGAGTCTCATAATATATGTGATTACAGTTTATTAGTTGGTGTACATATAATCGATGAAAACTCACCATTGGCTTTGACATCGGATGACCAAAGTCAAAAAGATCAATGGAAAGTATTGGAAGAAGAATTTTTCAAAAAAACATCTGGTAAGACCTCATTATTTCAAAAAGATATTGGTGGTATATTATCAAAAAATAAAAAAGAAGTTTACTTTATTGCTATTATTGATACATTAACACCATGGAATTTCTCAAAACAATATGAAAACTTTTTTAAATCAATTATTCATGATGGAACCAAAATTTCTGCTATTTCTCCTTCTGCATATCGTAAAAGATTCCAAGCTTTAATAGCAAATATTGTCCAATAGTAGCAGTAATATAATAAATAACAATAACAATAATAATTGTTGTTATTTTTATTTATTATACAATAATTATAAAACAAATATAAAAATCATAATAATAATAATAATAATATCAAATCGTAATAAAATAATAATCATTTTATTATTTTTAAATTACAAATTAAAAAAACAAATAAACTTAAAATTTAATTTATTTATACTAAAAAACTACTCTTTTTTAATTTTTTTCTGATTTTCTGTCTGATTCTTTAAATAATAAAACCTATACCTTTTTATTTCATAATGATTAAAAATAATTCATTGGTTTTTTTTTTTTATAAATAAATTAAAAAAAAAAAAATTTTGGCATTTTTCGTTTTTTTATTTTTTTTTTTTTTTAATTATAATTTAAATAATTTTTAACAATAAATAAATAAAATGTTAAAAAATTTAACAAATAAAAGTAACATCTATTGTAATAGTAGTATTATATCTTTTTTAAATAATAGTATTTTAGTCAGATCATATGCAAAAAAAAACCAACCTATAATAGAAAGAGAGAAAAATGAAGTACAACTTGGCGAAAATATAAAAACTGTTAAATTTGTTACAAGAAAAAAAATTGAAGAAACTTCAGTTAATACTAATAATAATAACAACAATAACAATAATAATAATAGTAAAAAGAATAATTATAATAATAAAAATAAAAATAATAATAAAAATAAAAATAATAATAAAAATAATAATAATCATATGAACAATAAAAATAATAATGATTTCAAAAATAAAAAACTGTTCAACCACTTTAAAGATAAATATAATAATAAAGATAACGAACAAGGTTCAAATTATAGTTTAGATAACTTTGATAATAATATTAATATAAAAGATAAAAATAATAAAAAATCAATTGGTTTCAAAAATAATGGTAATAAAAAAAGAGTTTCTAGTTCAGATAAAATTGAGCAATGGGCAAAAGAAGTGGATAATGATGACTATGACCAAGATGAGGATTTTTATGAAGAGGACTACGAAGAAGACTATGAAGAAGACTACGAAGAAGACATTGAGGAAGACTATGAAGACTACGAAGAAGACATTGATGAAGATAAGAAAATCAAAACTCTAAAAGAAATTAATGAAATTAAAAGAACTGAAACTACAGTATCACATTTAAGTCCAATTTTAGAAGTATTTAAAAAAAGAAAAGAAGATATTGTTAAATTAGTTGTTGACCATGAGTTTTATAATTCGAATAAAAAAGAGATTCATCCAATGATTAAATATTTTACAAAGAATAAAAAAGTGTATAAAATTATAACTGGTCCAAATTCACATGAAGAGTTAACTAAAATGTCGGGCACAATTCATCATGGTGGTATTATGGCAATCGTTAAAAAGAAGTATCCAGTTCCAATCGATGTTTTAATGGAAAATGAAATTGAAAGATATAGATTATATGAAACTACACCCATTGCAACACACTCATTCAGTCAACATATTAAAGGTCAAGAATTGGCAAAGAAAAAACAAATCGAATCTTTAGGATCTGCAGCTCGTCCAATTATTGTGTTTTTAGATGGCGTCGAAAATCCAATGAATTTAGGTGCTATAGCTCGTACATGTGCTTTGTTTGGTGTTAAAAGCATAATCATCAATGCTAGTTCAACTGAAAATACAAAGTCACCAATAAACCCATTCTCTGGTGAGGCTTATAGAAGTAGTCGTGGTGCACTCGAGCATGTAAATATCTCAATTATCAATACCTATACAGAAACAATGGAGTGTTTAAATGAATTCACTTCAAATGGTTGGGAACTCGTTGTAACATCAAGTAATCTCGAATTAAAGAATAATGTTACTCTCTACTCTAAAGGTTCAAATAAATTATTAGGTCTTAAACCAATGATTCTTGTTTTTGGTTCAGAATCAAAAGGTATTGGAAAGAAAATTATGAAAGCATCAACTCGTTGTCTCACTATTCCAGGTACAGGTTTAATCGAATCATTAAATGTAGCACAATCCGCATCAGTTATTTTAGCTGAATGTTGGCGTATTCAAGGCAAAAATTTAGAATCACCAGATGAAAAACGTATAGAATCTATCAAAACTGGTAATGGACCTTTGGAAATCACTCCTCAATTATTAGGTATAAAAGAATCTGATATTTATAACGACGATGAATACGAAGTTACAGAGGACGATAATTAAAATGCAAATAAATAAATAAATAAATAAAAAAAAAATTAAAAAAAAAAAAAAAGAAATATAGTTTTTACAATATTGTAAAACTATAAATAAAATAATATTAAATAAAGCTTTATTTAAATGGCTTTATCTTAAAATTTTTGTACATTTCTATTTTATTTTAGTGTTGTTATTATATATATATATATATTTAATGTTATGGTTTATGATTATTATTTATTATATATCTTTAAATTAGAGTTTATTTGAATTGAAAAACCATTTTCCTAAAAGACCAAAAGCAACCAATTGTGGTTGATCTTTTTGTGGATCATTTAAGTAGGCTAAAGATAATACACCTAAATTTTTAATTTTGAAAGCATTTAAAGCTACAATTCCTCTCATAACCAAACCCTAAATTCGAAAAAGTAAATGTTAATATGTATTAAAACGATAAAAACACTTATATTAATTTGCACTTACAGCCAAGTAGCCACCATTATTGTTTTCTGAATATTTACGAATTTGTTCTTTGAATTGTTTTTCGTCGGGATTTGTAGCATAGAAGATACCAATACCAGCTAAAAGAAATAAAAGTTTTTTCATTTTATTTTTGTTTAATTTATAAATTAATGAAATGATTAAAAAATTTAAAAAAAAAAAAAAATTTTTAAAAAATTGTTTAATTTATAAAAAAAATATTTGATTGAAAAACAAAAAAAAAAAATAAAAAAATGTAATTATTATGTAAATTTAATTTATAAATAATTAATATTGATTGGTTTTTTAAATGATTTTAAATAGATAAGATTTTTTTTTATTAATTTAATATTTAAAAATAAAAAAATAATTTAAATTAAAAAAAATAAAATAATTTTTTTATAATTTTTTTTTTTTTTTTTTTTTTTTTTGAAAAATTTTAATTGGGTTTAAAAACAAAAAAGAAATTTTTTTTTGGAGTGCCACTAAATTATTAAAATATTATAAAATAAAATAAATATATATACATACATTTAAACCAATAGATATAACATGGATAATAGAAAGAGGATTTATACCTACAATTCACCTTGGGTTATATATGGATTATCGTGGAGTAATCGAGTTAATAGACCTTTTAGATTAGCAATTGGTTCATTTTTAGAAGATTATACAAATAGGGTTGATGTTATACAATTAAATGAAGAAACCGATCAATTCGAAGTTTTATGTGGATTAGAGCATCCCTACCCACCAACTAAATGTATGTGGATACCAGATAAGAATAATACAAGACCCGATTTATTAGCAACCACAGGTGATTATTTAAGACTGTGGGAAGTATCATCAAATCAAAGATCGATAAAAATGAAGAGTTTATTATCAAATGTATGTGGTATAATACTATATTGTAGCAAAAATAACAATTAAAAACTATTATATAAATATAAAGTTATTAATATTATTATTTACGTAAATAATAGAATAAAAGTAGCGAATTTTGTGCACCATTATCATCATTTGATTGGAACGAAACAGATCCATCACTATTAGCAACATCAAGTATTGACACTACATGTACAATTTGGAATATAGAAACAGGACAAGCTAAAACACAATTAATAGCACACGATAAAGAGGTTTTCGATATAGCGTTTGCACGAGGAACTGATTTATTTGCATCAGTAGGTGCAGATGGATCATTAAGAATGTTTGATTTAAGAAATTTAGAACACTCAACTATTATTTACGAAACACCATCATTTGTACCATTACTACGTTTGTGTTGGAATAAACAGGATCCAAACTATTTAGCAACAATACAACAAGATAGCCCAAAAGTTATAATTTTAGATATAAGAGTTCCATCAGTACCTGCTGCTGAATTGGTATTTCATAAGAGTGCAGTGAATGGAATTTCGTGGGCACCTCACTCAAGTTGTCATATTTGTACAGTTTCTGATGATAAACAAGCTTTAATTTGGGATTTATCATCAATGCCAAAACCTATTGAGGGTATATATATTACTATAATAATTTTAGATATTAATATGGAGCAATAAACAAATATTAACTTTTTTTTATTTTTATTATAGATCCACTTTTAACATATAACGCACAAGCCGAAATTAATCAATTAAATTGGTCAAGTTCACAACCAGATTGGATTGCAATAGCGTTTAGCTCTCATTTACAAATATTAAAAGTTTAATAAATAATATAGAATTATATAGAATTTATATAAAAAGAAAATGTATTTAATCAGTTTAAACTCATATTTTAAAATACTATTAGATTGTATATTTTATTTTATTTAACCTCTTATTAAATTAAATTAAAATTTTTTTTAATTTAATTTCAAAAATCATTTTTTATTTTTTCATCTATAAAATAATAAATTTAGATTTATAGAAATTTTCTAAAATTGGATTTTATTTATTTAAAAAAAAAAAATAAAAAAAAATAAAAAAATAAAAAATTAATTTAAATAAATAATTAATTTAAATAATAATTAATTTAAAAAAAACTATTTTTTTTTTTTTAAAAATAAAAAATTATTTAAAATAAATTTATTGTTTTATTTAATATTAAAATAAATAGCTATAAAAAAAATATAAATAAATAATTTTAATTATTTATTATTTTAATCTATGTATATTCATATAATTAAATAAATTTTATTTTAAAAAATATTTTTTATTTTTTTTATTTTTTTTATTTTTTTTATTTATTTAAATAAATATAAAAGAAATAAATAATTATTATTACCAAATAATTTAAATTATAGAAATTTAGATAGTTTAGATATAATATGGAAAAAAAGAAAGATGATTTTGATTTTTTAAATAAAAAAATCACTTCAAGTTCACCAATAAATATATTTAGAAGGTACTCTGTTGCAGATGTTAGGGATATTCATCATCAAAATGGAAAATCAGATGGACTAGACTCACCTTCAAATTTTAAACATCGTGTTGCAGAAAGTAAAATAATTAAAAAATTAAAAGTTTTAGAATTTGTTAATGAAAAAAGAGAAGAGTTTCAAAACAAACTTTCTGTAGATGGTGGTGCATCCCATTTAATAAAAGCAAAAGATAAATTTTCGTTCGTTTTGGGTAAATAGAAAACAATTCATAAATTAATTTAGATTATAGCCATACTAATAATTAATTTTAAAAATATAGGTGTTTTAAATTTATGTGTCATTTCATATATATGTGGTAAATTTCCTTTATTTTTACCCCATTTTTATGCAACGGAGTTTTTAATATTATTTATATTAAGAATCGTTTTATATAAAAGAAAGAAACTGCATTATTTTTTATTTGATTTTTGCTATTTTGCAAATTTAATGCTTTTATGTTATATTTATTTGGTTCCAAACAAACAATGGTTTTTTATAGCTTGCTTCTGTATTTCAAATGGCCCTTTGCTCGGTGCTGTTCTTCCATATAGAAATTCTATGGTATTTCACTCTTTGGATAAAGCGACCTCAGTTCTTATTCACATATTTCCATCATTAGTTACATACAGTTTAAGATGGTGCACCGATTTCTCTTTCTCTAAAAAAAACTCAACAAACACAACATGGAAAGATTTTTATATTTATCCAATTCTATTGTACATGTTATGGCAAGCTGTTTATTTTTTCTATGTAGGAAAATACAAAAAAGAAACTATTAAAGAGAATAACTATACCACATCTCTATCGTTCCTTTCAAGAGTTAAAGATGGTCATAAACCTCCACTTGTTACTCGTTTTTTAAATATCGCAACTCCAAATAATAGACTATACTTTTTTATCCTTTCTCAATTTGTATACACCTATTTAACAATAATTCCATGTATGCTTTATTATAAATATCAATTCTTACATACATTCTACCTCTTGTTTGTTATTACTGCAAGTTTATGGAACGGTGCTAATTTTTATATAGAATATTTTAGCAATCATTATGTATCTCAAATGAAAGAAAGAGAAGAAAGATGGAAAAAAATAATAATAAACTCCATTGGTAACACAAATTTTTCAACTCCAAATTCCCCAAATACCTCAGATCCATCAACACCAACACAAAATAGACGTCATCAAAGAAGAGCAAGTAGCGATACATATGCCCCTCATTCGTCAAAAGAAAACAATGATACAGTTATAAATGAAAACCAAAACAATTCAAACTATACACCAAATAAACCATTACAATAAAATTTTTTTTTTTAAAATTATATTTTTACAATTTGATTTTATTTTTATTTAATTTTAAGCTTTTCTTTTTTTATTTTTTATTCGTCATCTTCCTCGATTTCATCTTCACTTTCTCCCTCACTTTCCTCTTCACTTTCTTCTTCAGATGATTCCTGTTTTTTCTTTTTTCTTGCAGCAGCTTTCTTTTTGCTTGAAGCAGGTGTGGGTTTGGTTGGTTTATTGGCTGCTGCTTTTTTACCACCTCTTCCTTTTGGTTCCTCAATATCTTTTTCTGCCTCTTCGTCATTTGTTTCCTCTGAACCTTTTGCTGGATTACTAGATTTCTCATCATCATTTTGATGTCCACTAGAATCAGTTGATGGTTTTGGTAATGGTGGTAATTTAAATCTTTTTGGTAATAGACTAGGTAATTTAACTGATGCAACATCTTCAACAATTTCATCAGCTGAATTTTCGGCTAGTTTAAAGAATTTATCTGGTAAAATAATTTCAACTGGATGTTTTTGAGGTTTCCATTTCTTTTGTTCATGTTGATGAGCTAAAATTTGAAGACTTATTTCGGCTGCTATTATATGATTCTTTGATTTTGGCTCCAATGCATCTGTGGTTTTTTTAATTGAGGTTAATGTTGAATGTATAATCGAATAATTATCAGATTCTTCAATTAAAAGATCCATGAAAAAGTTGAGATAAATTGCAGATTCGATATAATTCTCACGAGCAAAATCCTCACGATGGCTAACAACATATAGAAAATATGGCATTGAGGATTCTGGATAGAACTCTCCCAATTTCTTTATATCTGTAATTTGTGGTGCTAAACGTGTAATAACTGCCCTTCTTGTTTTAATGATTGAATTTGAAAGCTTTCTAACCATTGTCAAAACGGAATTTGGTTGTTGAGCGGCCATACCAAAAGCACACATATATTTCATTGGTAGTCTATTTAAACGAAGATATTTTGCAAGCTTTTCAATAATTTTCTTAATGAGATGATCGTTTCTGGTCTTTAATGTAATTGATGTGCTGTTGCAAAGTAGAATAAATTGGCTCGGTGTAATTTCTTTTTCGTAGGCACTTTTTTGGAAAATCTTTAAAAGTCCAATTGCAATTTGAAGTTTAAGATGGCCTTTTTCAACATCACTATAGGATTTATTTGTATTAACTTTTTCATAGAGTTCAAACATTGAATTTACAAGCTGGTGATGGATATCTTTAATTTCACGGATACCTAATAAGTAGTTTGAAAGACAACGAATGGCTGCAATTTTAACGATTACATCCTTGCTGTGGTGATTTGAGTTGTTTTCTGATTTAGTAAGAGCAACTTTATGTGTAAAATCTAAGGTACAAGTGCCTGGTAAAATTTGTTTTGTAATTAAACGTTGTAATTCAGTTTCGTGTGTTTTATTTCCAATCAAAATACCAGAATAACATTTTGAAATACAGCCAATTACTTCTAAAATTGATAAAAGGTTCTTTTTGCTATCTGCTAACTCCTCAAAGAGTTTATCTGTTAAATCTGTTAATTTTACTACCAAACGATTGTTATCAACTTTTCCGTTTGTTGTTGATGTGAGAGCTGGTGTTGCAAATTTAATATATGTTTTGAAGGCCAAACGAGCTAATACTGGTTGTTGAACCTCTGTTAACTTTAATAAAAGCTCCAACATACTTTTGAATGAATTTGGATTAAATTTAATTGCTTTTGTTGAACTTAATAAAATTTGTAATGTTGGATAAACAATTGATTTTGAGCAGGTTAAAAACTCGATTAATTGGTCACCGTATTGATCAAATATATCTGGATAGATTTGTGACAACATTAACAATACTTCCATGGCAACCTTGGGCTTCTTTAATTCTTTTTCATAATCTTTTTCGTCAAATTCTTCCAAAAGGTTAATCTTTTTATCTTTATCGAAATTATCCATATTTAATTCACCTCTTAAAGATCTAATAAAATATTTAACATTCTCTTTGCCAATGATTAAATATGATAATTTGTTTACTAAAAACTTTAAAAATTCTGAAAATGAGCTTTCATCATTTGCTTTACTTAAAATCTCAACCTATATTTGAAAAAAGAAAATATATATAAGTAATTTGAAAATATCTTATCAAAATAATAAAGAATGTTATTACCCTTATTTCATATCTTTTCTGTGGTGTTGTATTAATATCGCATGATAAAGATAATGAATCGAAAATTTTTTTCTTGGTCATTAATTCACGTAATAATTTCTTTGGATGATCGGTTTTGAATTTTGGTAAAAGATTTGCTAAAAGTGTCATTTGAGCTTCGATTTGGTATTCATCGGCAGCTTGTTGTTGTGCTGTTTGTTTTGATGGAGTTGAGGCTGGTTTTGGGTTTCTAATTAAATTATAAAATGTCATAAACTCTTGTCTAAGGATCTTCTTTTCTTCAAAATATTTTTTTAATAATTGTTTTGATGATTCTTCTAAAGAATCATAAATTTCTAAAAATACTTCACTTCTGCCCTTGGTATCTGTAAATTGTGGTAAAAGAACACTATCAAAAGTAATTTCTGCTCTAAATTTGTCATTATCAAATAATGTGAAACTTTGAATAATTGTATTTGGAATATTTGCAAAGCTATCATAAAAGCTACTTGGCCACTCTTCAACTGGACCTTTAGAACGACGAATTGATAACCAAAGATTTGCCATTGAAACCAATGCTTGCTTACGTACCTCTACCTCTTTATCTTTAATTCTTTCAAGAAATTCTGACATGAGATCCTGTGTTGCGAATTCGGGATTACTTGAAATATATTGTTGGAAAACTGCAATTGCCTTGATTCTAATTAATGCGACGCTATCTCTAAAACGTTCATGAACAATTTTGACTACACGTTCAATTTCCAACTTTGATTTAGTTTTAAACTCCTCTGAGAAATCCATCATTAGCATACGAATGTCTGCCTCAACATCATGGAATCTATTAAGAAATGTTGTGTAAAGGGTTGGTCTTTCTTGAATTAAAACATCGGCGGTTTCACTACTATCGGTATAACAATTTTTTAAGACCTTAACAACATTCTTTCTAACACTAGCACTACTATCTTCTAAATCAAACTCTAGTGCGGGAAGGGCATGGAAAATGAATGGTGGTGAGATTTTGAACATTGTTGTAAGGATTTCATATTTCTTTTTCTTTACAAGTGAGGAGATAGTGTTGGATGGATCGTTTGCTGCTGGATCTAATAAATCTTGCAAATATAAATCGAAATGGATCTTCAAGAAATGAGAATTAATTTCAATAAGGTCACGTGTAAAGAGTGCTTTTGGAGTTGGTACACCACCTTTCTCGTGCTCAACCAATGATTCTAAAAGAATATTCCATAATTGATTTGGTACCTCTTCTAATGACTCTAAGGTTGTATTTAAAATTGTTAACATCATTGTATCCATGGTTTGATGTTGTTGATCACCGCTTACTTTTGAGATACAATCTTTGAAAAATTTTGGTATCATATCTGAATCTACCAATACCAACAATGCAAACACCTTTAATACTGATAATCTTTCCAACATTTGAAAATATAATGGGAAGAGTTTCTTATCTACCTGCTCTGCTGATAATATCATAAATATAAATAATTTGAATACTTCTTTGACCATATTTGCCTCGAATGGAATAGTTGGTGAATAGATCCTAAAAACCTCGGCTAAACAACATGATGTCATTAATTTAATTTCAAAATTTTTATTTTCTAAATATTTCTTGTCGACTAAAACATTTAAAACCAATTCCAATCCCTCAACATCAGTTCTTTTTTTATCTTGTAAAAATTCGTCTAATTTCTATAAATAAAATAACTAGTTAATATGGTGCTAACAATAAAATTAATTTGAATTTTAATAAATACTTTTAATCTTTTAATAATCTTCTCGTTTGTTAATGATTCATCATTCATATGCTTATCGTATTCTGCTAATCTATCGGTATTAAATGGCTTTAAGTTATATTTAATTTTAGATTCTTTTTTTTTTTGTGGTTGGGCTGATGAGACTGATCTCTTATTTGGTGCTTGTTGTGATGATGTAGATTGTGATGCTGTTGGTTGTACAATTGATGCTTGTTTTTGCTTTTCGGATTCTTTTGCTGTTGCTTTTGCGGTTGGCTTTGTTGGTGTCGAAGTTGCCTTTGAATTTGCTTTTGATGCTGGCTTTATTGGTTTTGCTGGAGCTCTCTTTTGTTTTTTAGTATCTTTAATTTTAAACTCGGTTTCGATTTCCTCGCTTTCAAAATCACTGTCATCTTGATTATCATGCATATTTTCATCTTCTTCCTCTTCTTCTTCCATCTCCTTTCTTTTTCTTGATGCTGTATTTGTTGATTTAGATGTTTCTATTGTAGTTGATCTACTACCTCTTTTAGTAGTAGTTGCCATTTTTATAAACTATAAAAATTTAAATTATAAATATTATTATTATTTTATTATTATTATTTTATTGTTATTATTATTTATTAAAGTAAAAATAAAATTTATATAACAATTTAATTGGAAATATATAAATATATATAAGAAAAAAAAAAATTTTAAAAACATTAAATTTTTTTCAAAATTAAAAAAAAAAATAAAATTAAAAAAAATTATAAATTTGGGCGCCTTCGAAGAAAGAAATAATTTTTGGGAAATATATATATAGATAAGCAAATAAAAAATCCAAAACATATAATGTTATTTATTTGATAACTATATTCTATTAATACTTTAATATTATTGAAAAAAAAATATTTTAAAATAAATATTTAATAAAAAAACTTGCCCAAAAATGGACATATTTTACTTTATTGAATAAAACAAAAAAAATTTACATAATTTAAATTATTTTTTAAACTTTTTTTAGTTTATACAAATATGTATAAAAATAGACTGATATAATTAAATAATTAATAAAAAAAAAAAGGAAAATTAAATTCAAAAATTTTTAATTTTTTTTAATTTTTTTTAATTATTATTTTTTTAAATTAAAAATATACATACATATTTTTTTTTATATTGGTTTATCCCCCTTTTTTTTTTCTCTTCATTTAATTATATTATTATCATTTATTTTATATCACTTAACAAATAATTCATTTTATTTGTTTAATTTGATACCTATTATAATTTATTATTTTGTAAATATATTTAAATATTTCGTTTTATTGGCAATGAAAAAAAAATGTCACTATCAACCACAACAACATCAACTATCAATAATAGTAATAAAACCACCTCAACTTCAATAAAAAATGAAAAACCTTCTTCTTCTTCTTCTTCTTCCTCAAAACCACCATTAAAAAACAAGGTTTCAACAATCAAATCCACTAATAATAATGGAAGCAGCGATACAAAAACTCCAACTAATAATGATAAAGATACAATTGATAACAAAACAGATAAAAAAGAAGATTTTTATGACATAAAGTTTGAATTTGACGCGCCACAATTTATAGACTTTCAAACATTAGATATTAGTAAGCAAGAAGAGAATTTTGATAAATGGTTTGATTCAATACATATCAGCCACGAAACTGACAAACCAAAGGTCATCACAAATTACTTTCAAAAAACATCACCAAATAAATCAGAAGATCCACCAAATGTAATAAATATAACCTCTACATCACCCATTTCAATATCACCAACCAAAGATATATCAATCACTAATCAAACTTTTGATCAAAATAATGATAACAATAACATTAAAATAAACAATATAAATAATAATAATAGTTTAACCAACAAACCACTTTTTAATAGTAATATAAAATCATTATTTAAAGATTTATCTGGAACATTAAAACCTGAAAGAATTTCAATTAATAATATTAATAATAACGCAGATGATATAGCGGGTTTAGAACAAATAAAAACAAACTTACCTCCAAAACCAATAAGGCTCTCGTCACAAAATTTAAAAAGATTTTCTGCCTCAAACAATTTAAATAATTTATCAAATAACAACGATATAAATAATAATAATAAAATTACACATTGTAGACTTTCATCATTAAATAGAAGATTTAATAAACTTTCAACATCCGGTATAACATCTGCAACACCTGCCACTGCAACTGCCACAATTTTAAATACCATTTCATCAAAACCACCAATCAAAAGAGCATCAACAAATCAAATATACAGTAAACTAAATAACAATATAAATAATGACAACAATGATAATAATAAGGATCCTTTTAATATTGCAAGCAATATAAAAAATGGCAATAGTAATAATAATAATAATTGCGAAAACAAACCTTCATTGTTAATAAAACCTGTTGTAAAAAAAACAATTATAGATAACAAAAGAAAAGCAAGTATACTTTCCAACAACAATAGTAGCTTTAGTTATATTAGAAAAAGCATTACAACTCCCAACAACAGTGACAAACCAACAAAATCCTTAGTTACAACAAAAGAAAGCATCCCATATAAAATCGAATTATCAAAAAAAGAAAGATTATCAATTTCCTCAATCAAAAAAAGACGCTCAAATCTTGGTAGCAATGGATCAAACGTAACCAAAGATAGGTTTATTTATAATGGTAATAATACTACTCCAAAACCAACAAGATTATCAATGAAAGAAAATATCAACATTAATAGTAAATTAAATAATTGCCAAGGAAAGACCAGTGTCAGTATTGATAGAAATCAACCAAATTTAAACAATAACAATAACAACAAACCCCTAGTACCAAACTCATCTTCCTCATCTTCCTCATCTTCCTCATCATCATCATCGTCATCATCTTTTTTATTGTCAAAAAGACCTCTTTCACCAATCCCATCATCATCATTATCCAGTGTTAAAAACAAAATCAATAATAATGAAAATATAAATAATAGTATCAGTAATTTAAAACCAAAAAAACCAATCACAGATTTATTATCAAGCAATAAAGAAAACTTGACCATTTCAAATCTTAAAAAACCATTATCTGCAACCTCATCATCAAAACCCCCAATTTTAATAACCGATAAAAAAATCTCGACCGAAAAGAGTAAAAACAAAATTCCAATATTAATCAATTCCAAAAACCCAACATTTTTTCCCCAAGAATATTCAAAAATTATAAAATAAATAATGTATTTTTTTTCTTATTCACCATTCTAAATAAATATCTTTAATGTGATTCCTATTTAAATAAAATTGTAATTTAATGAAAAAAAACATTATTTCAATCGATTTTGTTTTAGGAATCAATTAAGATTTATTTATAAATTTATTTAAATGAGAAAAAAATGAAATTAAATTTTTATTTTTTTTTTATTTTTTTTTTTATTTTTTCCAAATTTTTTTCGTATCATTTTTTAATTTTATTTTTTTTTTTCTTTTTTTTTAAAATTGATATTTTCATCATAAATAATATAAAAATAATAATGAACGTCCAATTATTCTGGAATTTACTTTCAAAGGTTGAAACCTCAACTCCAGCCACTGCCCCAAATTTTGATACCAAAGAAAAATTATCAAAATTATTCACCGAAAATGAAACCCTTAAAACTTTATATCCATCAGTAAGTATAATTTATTAATAACTTTAATAATATACAACTCGACATTTTATACTTACTATAAACCATTCATTAGATCGATGCCAATGTTTTAAAAACTTTAGATGAAGTTTCAGAAGTTTTAAAAGGCGAAGATGCCAAAAAGAGAGATATCCAATTACACAAACTCAATAAAGATCTTTTAACCAAAACATATGTTTTTGCTGAAAAACTTACTGCTTTAGATTTAGCCTACTATGTTATTTTATATGAATGGATGGTAAGATTATATTAAAATTTAGGGAATAATACAGATTGGATAGATTAAAATTAAATGTATATTATAATAACAATTATAACAATAATAATGATTGTAGATTAATAATAACAATAATGATAATAATAATAATAATAACAATAATGATAATAAATTAATATTAATATAAACATAATTTTTTTAAAAAATAAAGTCAAAATTAAATGATAAAGAAAGATTCACATTTTGTAATATTACAAGATGGTTTAATTTAGTTCAAAATCAAAAATCAATTTTAAATATTCAACCAGTTATTGCAATTAGTCTTGTACCACCACCAGTTGAAAAGAAAGAAGAAAAGAAACCAGCTGCTGAAAAGAAAGAAGGTGCTGTTGAACAACCAAAAAAAGAAAAAAGACAAGCTCCACCAGCTGCACCAGAACCACCAATGGATATTTCAAGATTCGAAATTAAAGTTGGTAAAATTGTTGAATGTAAAAAACACGAAGCTGCCGATTCATTATATGTCGAAAAGATTGATTTAGGTGAAGCCGAAGGTCCAAGAACCATTGTCAGTGGTCTCGTTAAATTCATCCCATTAGATCAAATGTTAAATCGTAAAGTTTTAGTCCTCTGTAATCTTAAACCAGCAAATCTTAAAGGTATTAAATCATTTGGTATGGTTCTTTGTGCCTCAAACAGTGACCACACACAAGTCGAATTCGTCGAACCACCAGCTGATGCCGTTATTGGTGAACGTGTCGTCTTTGAAAAATTCCCAGGTGATTATGATAAAGTATTAAAACCAGCTACTTTTGATGCTGTTATTGGTGACCTCCAAACTAACGCCGATAAAATTGCTGTCTTTAAAGGTGACTTATCAAAAACCTCTGCTGGTCCATGTACTGTTAAATCAATTGCTGGTGTTCCAATTAAATAAAATAATATAAAATAAAATAAATATATATTTAAATCAAAACTAAAAAATTTTTAATTATTTTCATTGTATCAAATTAATCAATTTTTAATAACTCAACCAAAAATAAATTAATTTTTGATTGAATTAAAAAAAAAAAAAGTTAAATGATAAATCAGTGATCAAATAAAAATTAAAGTTATTTTCATTATTTTATTTTTCTAAAAATAAAATTAAAAAAAAATGGAAAAAAATAGATTATGAGAAATACATAATAAACGTTCACTATGAAGCTTACCACAGGGCTTTTTTTCTTCTAACGTTTTTTTTTTTAATATTTGACCAAAATTGAAATTTTTATTTTTTTTTTAAAAAAATAAATTTTTTTTTTTTTTTTCGTAATTTTTTTGCGACTTTATTTAAAATTTTTTTTTTTTTTTTATCTTTTTTCTATTGTAGCCAACTTTTGTTAAAATGTCACACAGAAAATTCGAAGGTAATTTTTATCATCAATATTTATATATATACTAGCTAAATAAAATTGATAATATTGTATAATAATTTAAAATTATTATTACTATTATAATATTATTTAATAACCTTTTAATTTAGGTACAGAATAAAAATATTTAAAGTTTTATAAATTAAAAAATGATTACATTTTCATACAAACTCTATCGTTTGATGGTAGTTGTTTGTGCTTGGATGTTTGATTTTAATTTTAAATTTTATATTATTTATCATTATTATTTTACTATCAATAAAAAAATATATTCTTGCTTTTATATTTATGGAATATTTAATGTTTGGTTTATTAATTATCAATTTCAATTATTATTATAATTTAAATAGCTCCACGTCACGGTAATCTCGGTTTCAGACCAAGAAAGAGAGCCAGCAGACATCAAGGTAAAGTCAAGTCATTCCCAAAGGATGACCGTACCCAAAAAGTCCACTTAACTGCCTTCATGGGTTACAAAGCTGGTATGACCCACATCGTTCGTGATTTAGAAAAACCAGGTTCAAAGATGCACAAAAAAGAAGTCGTCGAAGCCGTCACCATTCTTGAATGTCCACCAATGTACATTGTTGGTTTAGTTGGTTACATTGAAACCGCTCAAGGTCTCAAAACCTACAAAACCGTCTGGGCTCAACATTTATCAGACAACTTCCGTCGTAGATTATACAAAAACTGGTACAAATCAAAATCAAAGAAAGCTTTCACTAAATACGTCAAACAATACGAAACTGAAGAAGGTAAAAAAGCCATCGAAGCTTCACTCCAAGCCATCAAAAAACGTTGTTCAGTCGTCCGTGTTATTGCTCACACTCAAATCAACAAATTAAGATTAACCCAAAAGAAAGCCCACGTTCTTGAAATCCAAGTTAACGGTGGTTCAATCGTCGAAAAAGTTAACTTCGCTGTTGCCAACTTCGAAAAGACCGTCTCAGTCTCAGGTGTCTTCTCTGAAAATGAAATGATCGATGTTATTGGTGTTACCAAAGGTAAAGGTTTCAACGGTGTCATCAAACGTTGGGGTGTCCGTAAATTACCAAGAAAGACCCACAAAGGTTTAAGAAAGGTTGCCTGTATTGGTGCATGGCATCCATCACGTGTCAGCACCACCGTCCCACGTGCTGGTCAACTCGGTTATCATCATCGTGTTGAAAGAAACAAGAAGATCTACAGAATCGGTCAAGCCCAACCAGTTGAAGGTAAACAAATCTCAACCGGTAAAACTGAATTCGATCTCACCGAAAAAACCATCAACCCAATGGGTGGTTTCACTCACTACGGTGTTGTTGACCAAGACTTCATCATGGTCAAAGGTTGTGTTGCTGGTCCAAGAAAGAGAGCTTTAACTTTAAGAAAGACCATCACCCCACAAACTTCACGTGCTGCTTTAGAAAAAATCTCCCTCAAATTCATCGATACTACCTCATCATTCGGTAACGGTAGATTCCAAACCAGCTCAGAAAAATCAAAACACATGGGTGTCCTCAAGAAACAAAAAGTCACCAAAGCTTAAATTTTTCTTTAATAAAATAATATTTTTTTAAAACCTAAAATATTATAAAACAATCTTTTTTTCTTTTTTTTTTTTTTTACACATTTTAAATATTTCGCAAAGTTTTTATATAATTTTTTAATTTTTAAAAAAACTAATGAAAATTTTTTAATGTATATATATTAATGGTTTTATTTTTAAAATTAAAATCAAAGATTTATTAGAGAAATAGAATAAAGGAAATAATATTAATTATAGTTTTTTGATTAAATGTTTTTTATTATACAAAAGATTTTTATTTTATATTATATATATATTTTTTTAATTTTTAGAAACACCACAACATTTCTTGAATTTTTTACCGCTACCACATTTACAAACATCATTACGATCTTGTTCTGGTTTTTTAATACCGGTTGTACCTAAACTAACACCGTTTTCAGCTAATCTCTTTCTAATAAATTCTTCAGCTCTCTTCTTGTTTAAGTCTTCGTTGTTATCAAATTCGTTGGCTTCTCTTTCGGTGGTGATATGACCATTGGCTAAACGAATAATTTGTTCAGTTAAAAGTTCACCTTTGATGATACGAGTGGTGAATTGATCAACAGTGAATGAGAGTTCTTGGTTGGAGTATTGAGCTTTCATTTGTTCGAAACCGGTTTGGTGGACGAATTCTGGTTCATCTTGGAAGAAGAGTTTCATATCATTGACACCACTCCAAACGATGCTGTAAAGTGAAGTTCTAGTATCGAAAGTAACATTCATTCTTGAGGTCATATCAACTTGGAAGGTTTTAACTTGGTCATTTAAAATCTAAAAGAAATATTAAAATAAAAAATTAATAACATGTTATTATTAAATTATTTATTATTATTAAATACATACATTAACTTTACAATCGACAGTTTTCCAAGCTTCGATGGTGTTGGTGAAAATTCTACATTTGAAGTTAAAGGTACATCTTTGACAACTTTCAATCATAACTTTAGTAATACGGGCAGAGATAGTAAAGTTACCATCTTTACAGTTTTTAAAGTATACGGTGGTTTTAACATTTTTAATGGTTTCTTTATCTAATTCTATAGTTTCGTTATTTGAATCTTTGACGAAATGAACTGCTTGATCTTTGGCACCAGAACCTAATTGAGCATCGGCTTTTTTATCTTCGATGGTTTCTTTCATTTTAATGGCATCTTCACCTTTTGGTTGTGGTAATGAATTTTTTGGGTCAGCAACAGCTGCAACTGAGTCAGTAATGACTTGAGCTGAAATTTCTTCTTGTGTTTTTAAGTTTGATTGTTGATTTGATGACATTTTCTATATAAATTAGTTGTTTTTTTTTGTTTTTTAAATAAATAAATAAATAAATAAATTTGTTTGTTGTTTTCTTTTTTTTATTTCAAATTCTTAAATAAAAAAATATGAATATGAAAAAAAGTTTCAGTTTTTTTTAAAAAAAAAAAAAAAAAAAAAAATCTTAATTTTTTTTTTCAAAAAAAAAAATAAAAAAAAATAATAATTTTCAAAAAATTTTATAATAAAAGTTAAATAATGGGTTGATTTATATAGGAAAATTTTTCATGACCCATGGGATATTTTAACCCACACAAGACACCAAGTGAATAATCAAATAAAATGATATTAAATTTCGCTCTAATACACATACACACACATTTTACAGGTATTTTCCAAAAATAAATAAAAATAGATTATCTATTTTTTTTTTTTATTGATTTTATATTATAATTTTATTAGTTAATACTAATAAATGTTAATGTTTTTTTTTTTTTATTTTTAACTTTAAAAATTTTTTTTTTTTTTTTCTTTTTTTTCTTTTTTTTTTTAATTATAATTTATTATAAAATTATTAATAAGATTCTTTGAAAATTATAATCAATTTTTTTTTTTTTTAAAAAAAAACAAATACAACAAGTATCGTTCGATTATTTATTTTTTATTTATTTATTTATTTATATTAGGTTATTTTTTATTTTTAGTTTTTAATTATTATTATATACGGGAAAATTTTATTTTTACAATTTTGATTTTGGTTTTTGTGGTGGAACTTTATATATAGCAGATGCATTTGACAATAATGTGCCATCTTTTCTTTCAGCAGTTAATTTGATAAAGGCTAAAGATTTTGTAATTTTGTCAACTTCACTTTTACAAATAATGGTTTCACCAATGCTTGCACCAGCTATATAATTAATATTTAGATTAACAGTGAAACCAAATTGAAATTCATCTTGAGTTGAAACAAAACAAAATGCACCAAGACCTGAAAAAAAAAAAAAAAAAAAAAAAAAAAAATTAATTTTCAAAAAACTAAAAACTAAAAAAAAATTTATATAGTTACCATCTAATATAGTTGCAATACATCCACCATGCACAACACCATAGGTGTTGGTTAATTCTTTTTCAACTTTTACCTCGCATTCAATAAGGCCTTTTTCTACTTTGGTAAATTTTAGTAAATGGAATGTATCTGCAGAAAAACCTCTATATTTTACTACTTGGTCTAATAAAAGCTGAATATTATTTGTTAAATCTACCATTTATTGTGTGTAGTATATATATATTTATAAAATAAGACCAAAAAACAAAAAAAAAAAAATATAAGATAAAATACTATTTACTTATTAAACTAAAAAACTAAATTATATAATTTAAATAATATAAAAAAAAATAAAAAAAAATAAAAAATAAAAAAAATAAAAATGACACCATTGGATGCCTTTTTTTTTTTTTTTTTTTTTTTTAACCGAATTTATTTATAATTATAGTTTTTGTTTATCTAACCAATTATTTAAATTAAAATTGGAATTATTAAACCAATTGTTATTATTTATGATTTTTTCTAATTCTTGTTTAATTACACAATCACATAATTCTACAGGGTTGGATGTGAAAAATTGGTTAATTTCATTTAATTGGTCATTTGATAGTTTACTCGAAAATATATGATAAATCATGTTGGTATAAAGTATGTTGTCTTTAAAGATGGTATCTATTTGCTTAAAGTTTTCAGTAAACATTTTCCATGATACATATTTGAACTCTGGGTGGGATGTGTTCCAAAGGAATTGGGTATCATTAATTTGAACGGCTGGTGTCAATGAAAACTTTAACATATTTTCATATAGTTGTTCAGTTGGGCTACCGTATGAAAGTACTTGTAAATATTGGATCTTTTCAGCAATGTCTGTGGTGTTCAAGTATTGAGAGATGATTTCTTTTTGTTCGATTTCACCACCATTGTGCAAAACACTTGTTAATACAAATTTTGCGATATTTGGGTTTAGTGATGTTTTATCTAATTTGAATTGTTCGTATCTCTTCTTTGATTCGTTTACAATTGGCTCGTAACCTAAAAGTGCTAATTTAGTATTGACGATACTACGAAGCAATGTATTACCTGAATCTTCATTTTCAATTGGATCGAAACCTAATTTATTTGAAATACCAGTTAAAAGTGTAACAACGGCTCTATTGAACTTCTCTTTGTATGGTTGGTCAAAGATTACGTCACCAATTTCACCGATGGTTTGGACGATGAATGTCCAAACATCAGAGTCTGTTTCATCTGAAAATGCATTTAAAAGTAGATCCATATATAGGGAGATTTCTTTTGAACCAGACTTGCAGACGTTAAAGAGATCAGAAAGTACACCTAATCTATCGACAGCAGAGAGTTCCATCGATTTAATCTTTGGGACTAATGGAACCAATATCTCTTGATTATAGTCGATACGTAAAAATGATGTTTGACCGTAGTTTGGTTTTATCCATTGACCACGTTTAAAGTTGGGAATTGTAAATGTATCTGATTCTTTTTCCAATGTAAAGCTATATTCGCCCTGTTCTGTGAGGAATCTAATGAAGCAGCTCCAAATGGTTTTGTTATTGCTGTTTTTGTCGAATGTGAATCTCTTTTGTTTTAATTTAAATGTTCCTTCGACTTCAGTTTCTTCAATAGTAATTACTGGATAGCCTGGCTCTTTAGTGAATGAATTAATGAATTTGCTAACATCGAGACCATTTGATTCTAATGATAGTGATTCCCAAAGATCTTCAGTTACTGTATTCTTGTATGAATGTTTATTTAAATATTGATTGATTGCTTTTTTAAAACTATCACATCCTAAACGATTTTCTAACATTTGAACTATACAGGCACCTTTGTTATATGAAATATCATCAAATATTTCTTGAATTTGTGATGTTGAGTATACCGGTACTTCTATTGGGTGTGTATTCTGTAATGCATCTAGGGTTAGGGCTTTGTTTCTATGATTTTGTGAAAACTCTTTCCACATTTTCCATTCTGGGAATAAATGATTTGCAGATAAATAACCACAAAAATTTGCAAATCCTTCATTTAACCATAATTGAGACCACCATTCCATAGTTACTAAATTACCAAACCACTAATAAAAAAATTAATAAATTAATAAGTATTTGGATTTCAATAATTTATAGATATATTATTATTAAATATAAATATGATACTTACTTGGTGGCTAATTTCGTGGCTAATCATATCGACCATTTCTCTTTTATTTACCAAGGTTGTTTTATCAGATGTTAGCAAATATATATCGAGATAGGTTAATAGACCCCAATTCTCCATAGCATAGAATGAAAATGATGGAATGGCTGCATGATCAATTTTTTTTAATGGGAACGAAATACCAAAATACTCTACAAAAAAGTCTAATGCCTTAACACCAATTTCTAATGCATATTCACTTGAATCTTTAACACCTCTTCCTTTGTAAACACGTACCCTGGTCTTATCAATTTTACTGTATGCCTCTATATATTCTAAATCACCAATAACAAATGCAACTAAATAAGTGCTCATAATTGGTGTAGTTTCAAAACTATTTTTATAAAAAAAAGCATTAATATATTTTATTATCAAATATTGATTTTATTATCTATTATTACTTACGTAAAAGTTTTGGTTTGATTATTGTTTTCTAATATCTCTGTTTCCATTGTATTTGAGATGGCTGTTAAATTTTTATCAATTGTTAGTTTTAAATTAAATGTGGCTTTTAAAGAGGGTTCATCAAAACATGGGAATGCACGACCTATAGAATAAAAGATGTGTTAATTAAATATTATTTTTATAAACCACCTAGGATGATGGTGTACCGTACTCTATAGTTTAAAGTATGGTATGTATACATACGTGCATCTGGAGCTTCGAATTGTGTTGAAAAAATCCAATGGTCTTCACCATCTGCATTATATTTTGAACGATAGAATCCTTTTAGTTTGTCATTAATAATACCAGTAAATAAAATTCTTAATTTTGAATCACTTGAAACTTTTAATGGTTGTTCAAATTTTAGAATAGCAATTTCATCATCTTGATCATATTCTATGGATATAGCTTTTTGATTTAAAATTTCTGCTTGTTGAATTTCAATATCGATTGAATGTATAACGATGGTATCAGTGGACTGAGTGATATCTACAGTTATTTCTTCTTCTCCATTATATTTAAATTGTTTGGTATCGCAAACTAAATGAATATTATACGATTTTGGTTTAATATTGTCTGGTAATACTAATCTATCAACTTTATCAATTAAATACTGTTTGTTTTTATTTCTACACATCTATTGTATTGTATTGTTATTATTATTATTATTATTATTACTGTATCTAAAGATTGTGTGGGTAATTAAATAAATAAAATTATTTTAAAAAAAATAATTAATTTCAACAAAAAAAAATTTTAAAAAAATTTAAAAAAATTGGGAATTTCATTTTTTTATTTATTTTTTCATCTTAATTTAAACATTATATTTTATTAATGTATCTATTGTTTTCAAAATATATATTTTAATAAAGAGTATGCTAGCTTTATCTTATAATTTAGTTTTCAATTTATTGAAAGTAGTTATTTATCAAAAAAAAAAAAAAAATTTAAAAAATTATCTTTGATTTTTCCTTTTTATTAATTTTTTTTTATTTGTTTATGAATTTTCTAAAGTTTGGTTTTAGAAATTTTGAAAATAAAAGCATTGGGTATAAAGATCAAAAAACCCATAAAAACAATACCTATTTTCTCAAAATATAAAGTAGGTTTTAATATTTTTTAAAGTTATTAAAAAGTTATTTAAATATTTAAATAACAACCTGATCCAGTATGAGCAGTTATATTATCACTCTATAGAGTGCTTGAACAGGCCATACATTTTTTGGTTTCAAGTGTTTATATTTGAAACCAAACCACCCCACTAAATTAAAAAAAAAAACTAAATAATTTGTTAATATTATTTTATATAAAATAATATTAGCTAACTTTATTAATTATTTGAATGTTAATGAGGTAATTTAATAAATGATTTGATACATCAATAGAAAAAAAAAAAAAAAATAAAAAAAAAAAAAAATGGTTAATTAAAAAGTTGGTTTTTTTTTTTCGATTAATAATTTCATTTAAAAAGATGCCATAATTTTATTAATAAAATACTATTTTATATTTTTAGAAAATAATACTTTTAGACTTGATAGTTAAAAAAATATTTATTTATAATTTTTTATAAAAATAAAAATAAAATTTTTTTTCCCAAAAACTATAAAAAATATTTTAATCATAGTTTTGATTAATTTATAATGATAATGACAATAATAATAAAATAATATATGAATAATAAATCTAAACAAATAAATATTAATATTTTGTACAGTTTTTTATTTATTTTTATGATTGTAAGGTACTTTGGGTAATAATTTCTACCTTTACTCTTATTTTTAATTGGTTACCTTCTAAATATCCACCTTCTTTTGGAGTTTTATTGCCTATAAATTGGGGGAAGCCGGCTCTAATTTTTAAACTATTAAAACATACAGTTATATTTGCTTTTTATTGGTAAATAAAAAAATTAGTAAATAAAAATAATTTAAAAAAAAATATAATGATGTGTATACTTACAACCTCTTTTATAATTTTTTGTAGAGTCAAAATTTAATAATTCAAAAGAAAACTGAACATTTGTTTCACAGTTTAAATTATTTACTTTGGTTAGGTAGAGTGAAATATGACCTGAATTCATTGCTAAATTGCCAAATGGGAATAATTGAATAATAAATTTATTATCACCAACTTGAAACTCTGGTGAGTTTAAATGTCTGTTGTTTCTAGAGTCATTGATTTTAGTGGAGTAGTCGGAAATAATCCAATCATTTTTATACTTGAAGGATACGGTGGGTCTAATTATATTGATTTCATCCTTTAATCTTTCCAAAGATAGCAGGGTTTCTCTTAACATTCTTTTGGTAGTCTCGTTCTCTTGTTTGGATTCGCTGAACAATTGTTTATACTTGATAATGATATTCTCTATATATTCTGTATGATCTTGTTGTTTTAAATGATCACCCATCTCGTCTCTAATAACCATTTCATTGCAACCGCCCTGTTTATATCTACATTCTACTAAAACCTTTTTACATTTTTTAATTTGATGTGATCTTAATAAAACTTTTTCTATTTTTTCAAAACATTTGTCACATTCTACTATATCATTTCCATCGCCTCCGTGACCTTTTAGATGGCAGTTTTTCATATGACTTCCCAACTCCTCAACCAAAAGTATTGCTTTACATCCTATTGATTCTTCATTTTCACTATCTTTATTGTTTTTTAATACATCAATTTTTTCTTTATTATAAATTCTTAAAATATTGGACAAAT